AACAAACAAGTAGCGTGCCAAGCGAATTAAAAACTTACATTTAATAATACAAAGTTATTTTAGCTTGTCGCAAAGTTTAGACTTACATATAAGTATATTTACCCGTCTTCAACAGATTTTATTGCAATAAAGAGCTAGAAATAAGAACGTATCGTACAATCTAGAAATATATTAAGAAGCAGTATAATAGTTGGTCTTATCGCAGTCTGCAATCTCTGACAGACAGTTATAGACCATCGAGGTTTAGGTACTGCTCAATGCACGGGCGATCAGTGATCCGTTTCGACTAGTTTAAAGGGAGTCATTGGCCTGTTTTCTTTTAGGTTTAATTTTCTTAGTATCAGTCAGGAGCCACAATTTGTCGTGATTATCTCTAAGTATTAAAGAAATTTTGTCGCGTTATCGTGAAACGAGAAGTATATTTAGAGAATACAACGAGTGTATAATATGTATATGTAATAATTTATGATCATACAAATGTGTATATGTACTCGTATATAGGAACAATCTTACATACATTTCTCAATGGCAAGGTATCTTATCTTACACGTGGAGACCTCGTAACTCGTTCATTGTGAATATATTTCTTTGATGCAAGTATGTACCTAATATATTACTTATTACCTGCTTGTTGTACAGCTCGAGTGTCTTCTGTTTATTTATATTGATAAATATCGATAAAAACGTCTTACTAAAAGTTTGATTGCTTCATTTATCGTAATTTGCACTTTTGGCAGCATTCCATTGCAAGGTACTGAATCTTGGATCGAGAAAATTGTTATTAGGGCCTTTTCCGTTAGTAAATTCAATAATGTAGACTAGTCTAAGTTGTTTACATTGCAATAATAATAATTGATCCCAAATAAGGCAGTTTGTTGTGTGGTAAACAGATACATAAGTATGTAGTAGAATAAACTGCAACCGACTCAGAACAAATGATTCTGCTCATCATGTAATTATTTGTCCTGGGTTGAAATCGAACTCACAACTTCTAGTTTAGCAGTCAGGATACCTCTAGACAACACGCTAGTCACAATATACTATGAAATAAGAAATGCGGTTGTAATATAATATATTATATTCTTTTCATTTTGAGTTATATACCACCTATTTATTTATTTACACCTCCGGCAAATACATACATACATTCCATAGTGATTGTCTGCCAATAAACCAATAGGTGAGGAAAGACCCGTCTATATATTAGGTGTAAATGTAAAATTCGGAATCGGCTAGTTTAGTTTTATTCTATATTTTATATATAGGTACACATATTCTTTATACAGATACATTACACACTTTTGTATATAATTTAAGCGTATAAAAATTGGGACTATTACTTTTTCCTTTGAACTTTCAGTTTCTTAAGCTTCTCTCTTCTTTTAAAGCTATTCGATTGCCGATCGGGATATATTGATCCCCTCACTCATCAATAGCAACGATTCTGAGGTGGGTGAATCTAGAATTCTGCAGTAGTAGTATCACTTATCACTTTAGTTATATACTGTATTTTTCTCTCTCGTTTTAACGGAAGTCCGATAAATATGTACGTCTCTTCGTTTGTCGACTCGATGGCAAATTTTAGATAACGCGAGTGCAATATTTAACGATATCGATTACCTACAGTATTTGCTTGGGAACAGGGCTGCAGGGCTATAGGTGCGCATTGTGAGACAGAGCCCTACCTTCAAAACCAAAATCCTAACATAAAAAAATAATAATTAAAAATCTCAATGCGTTCGCCTTATTTGTAGAACGGCTAAAAATACTAACTTTTTAAAATACCTAGTCTAGGGCATAACACCCCAAAAATTCCATCTGGGAGAAGAGCAGGGGCGGAAAAAATTAAAAAAAAAAACGCATAGTTGTTAGAGTTTATTTTACATCAACTCGTTCGTCGATGACAGCGTTCGGAGTTGCAATTGGCTCACACTGAACCCTCCACCAAACCTGATAAATCTCCTGATTGATCGGCCAGTGGAAACATACACAGGCCTGACTACATCGCACCACGGCCAAGTGCATTACACGAGTACATACTTATCGATACAACAAAAAATTATCGTTTATTTCATACACGTGGCGGCTCTCTTATCTATGTAGTTTGTTTATGATAATTTGTTGCAAATTTTACAATTTCTGTCCTTGTATAGTGTCAACATTATAGAAAGATACGTAAAACACACACATCACATCACATAATGAGGAGACGGCATTCAGTTCGGATCATGTATGTCTTTTTATCGCAGAATCTACTTTCAGGGCCAATCCGCTATATTAATTAAAGTTAATCATTACGGACCGGGGTCCATAAAATATTAGTGACAAAAATCTTCAAACCACTTAGTGTTATTAATAGTGCACCAGGGACTTCCTTTCTAGGGTACACCTGGTTCCCCGGATATTAGTACCTGAGACGGCGTGCGGTTTTAGTCGGTTCGAGTCCGACATGCCACCGATAGGTGGTATCCGAGGGGATTGCCGCACGGAAAAAAAAGTGTTATTAATAGTAACCTATACAAAGTTTGAGACTGTCACAATCACGGTCACAATGCTCACAATACTAGGACACTGTTAATATCACGTCCACTCTTTTTCAGCGCCCCAATATCGGACAGTCCTACTTATCGCACAGTACGTTCAAGAGCTGAGTGGGCTGCCCAAATATTATTATTTAATGGCAAATTGATTATTTAAAACTGCAGAACCTTTTTCATTTCATACAAAAGCCATGGTTTTGCCATGGCAAATATATTAGTTATGAAGTTAGTTAGTTAGGGTAATCATAGATTTATAAATAATTTTGATGTGTACAAAATTACGCTTAATGTTTCTATTTTACGCAAGAACCAGTTAGTATTCATGAAATAAATATACTTAGTCTCTCCGAGTGTTTTATTGATTGGAAAAAATCGAGATTCTTGGTGTTGTAAAGCGAAAGTATTACTCATCACATCGATAGCTTTTAATAGTCCACTGCTGAACATAGCCCTCTCCTTAGAAAGGAGGTTTCGGGCTACTATACCACGCTGGCCTGGCTGGCTGGGTTGGTATAGGGTTTGGGTCAAGTTTTACTTCTCTCTGCAGTGATGTTGTCCTGCGTAGTTTGCTGCCTTAGTCGGCTCGTGCGACACTCACAGTATGAATAGGAGTGGTTACACTCTGTATTCTTAATACGTCACCACACGGACAATATTACTCATATGTCGATTCAAATTTGTGTCGTCGGATTTGCTTCCAGCTGTCAGCGGTATTTTGCTATATTTTACGGAGTATAGTTTTTAAGGATTCTTTATCTGAACTGCTTTCGATAGTACCGCGCGGTTAGCCATAAATTAGTAGGTAATTACTATACCTACATAAGATACGTTACAATTTAATGGTTGATTGAAATTAAATGCAATAGCGGGAAAAAACATTTTTGTGGAAGTACTTAAAACTACTTATTCTCAACTCAATTAGTGTTGAGTTGATATATAATAAATATAAAATTCTCGTGTCACGGTGTGCGTGGTTGAACTCCTCCGAAACGGCTCGACCGATTTTCGTGAAATTTTGTGTGCATATCGGGTAGGTCTGAGAATCGGCCAACATCTATTTTTCATACACCATTTTTTTTTTTACAATTTTTTTTGAAATAATGTATATGGCAAAACAACGTTTGCTGGGTCAGCTAGTCTGCTATAAAAGTTGAATTTAGAAAATATGTTACTTAAAACTGAAAAATCGGTGTGAGTTAAGCGAAACGCACAACGCCATCTAGCGAGAACGTGAAATAATATGAACCACAGGCGAAACAAAGCGTCCACACGTCCACCATTCGCTTGACCTGTATCCAATCTATATAATGTGTGAAATCTTTCTGTTTGAAATCAAATATTACAAATAGTTAGAACATAGTTGCCTGTTGATCGAATTTCGACTAAATTTCGTTAAGTTTTATTTTTTTTAGTTCATTTTATTTTACTTGAACTGTCGTAAATTCAGTTTTTGACACTTGTACGTAAATTTTGTATATATTTGTATTTTATTACTTTACTTATTTTTAATTAAGTTATAAAAGAATTTTTATAATAATTATGTAATCTCATCTTAATAAATATCAGAAATAAATGGAATCGGTAATTTCAAAAACCTCTGAAGTCACATTTTTTCCCGGTTTTTTGCTGAAAATTATTTCTTATAGGTAGATGTGTATTCTGGGTGTAGTTACGTAAGTCAATACAAGATTCCTTTCCCTTCAAATGTTACCGCGTAAAAGATTTTCGTTGCATACATAAAAAAATATAATAAAAAAAAAACAACCAAAAAAACATACACAAAATAAATACAAATTGAAACATCTTTTTTTGTTATAAGACTACTCCCGCATTAGGAATATATCCTGTGTCGCGGGGGACTTTACTAACATACATGAAACGGACACAAAGTACACCCAGTCTCAGAACAACAATTTGTGGATCACACACAGTGTTGTCCCATGTGGGGATCGGACCCACAGCGCTCAGTGTAGTACTAAGCGGCGTGGCGACCACTTAAACCACTACGCCATCCGTGCAGTCAAAAATGTTAATAAGTTTTTTTTTTGTGTAATTGGCAATAATAAGCAATAAAAATATGAAAACTACTATTGTTTTGCTAACCGCTAACCCAATTTCTTGCCAAAACAACATAAGTAAAGAACAGTTTTACTGTTTTTTTAACAGATCAGTTATTAAACTGTGAAGGTTATTTGACATTTAAATTTTTTACAATTCAAATACTAAATTAAGCATAAAAAAGTAATTTAAAACTGCTTTTTATGCATGAAACAGTTTTTATTAATTCCTGACAAACTCTTATGGTGTGACTTATGAGGATTTTGAAATGATCAATTCAATTGTTTTATGGATTTCAGCTTTATAAAGATTTAATCTGGACAACGATGGCGACGGTCAAATCAGCAGCAGTTTTTGCCTGCGCATGTTAAAAAAACAACCACAGATAATAAAAATAATTTATTAAAACATCAACTTAGACTCGTGGGAAGTCAATATTTTCTCCACAGCCAAAGCCCTTTCCTTTAAAGTTACCATATCTTCATCACTAAGAACACTGCTCTGTTTCCCTGTATTCTTTATAAGGAAGTGTTGTATGAATAGTCTGATGCTTTCTCTGAACAGGCGCAATTTGGGCGGCTTGGATATTCGGAGGAATACCTCGAGGGAGGCTTCCAAGTTCGCATTCATTATGATAGCTAGGAGTATCTGACGCATAAAGCGAACAGACTGTTTGTTTAACTCGGAGAATTGGATTACCTGAAATAATATTAAAATAAGGTGATTTAGAATACTTGGAATTTCTTCTACAAAACTTTGGTGATATGAAAGTACAGCCTATGTCCAGCAGTGGACTAGTATAGGCTGTTGATGATGATGATGATGATGAAAGTACAGTAAATGATCTGTCATTTACTGTACTTTCATATCACCAAAGTTTTCATTTAATGAAACAAATTGAGATTCTGAATATCATTCATTTAAACAAATTGACATTCTGAATACCGATATTCAGAATGTCAATTTGTTTCAGTAAATGACTGATATTTAGAATGTTAATATGTTTCAATAAATTATTGATCAAAGAATAATCTGTTTTCGATATAAAAATTCGTACAAAATTCAGTTTCGATTTACTCTCGATCTCACAAATGTCATTAAAGCTATTCTCGTAGTAAACTAAGATTAGGAGAATACCGATTTAACTTTCGGTCATTGTCAATCATTTGTCTCGGGTGGGAATCGAACCCGCTACCTCTGGTTTAGTAGTCACGGACCGATACTAGATCAATGGACCCATCAGTTTTTAAAATGCGTTCATGATTCTATAGTGAATTAATCTCTATAGACTGTTCTAACGAACATAGTATTTGGTCAGTATATTCTGCAAGGTTGAGGAACAGGACCAGTCTCCTTAACCTCTCCAAAGGTTCCAGTATCTCTTAACCTGCTTTGATATAAAGTTAAGTGATTTTCAAAACTCACCTTCAAAACAGAAAGCGGCAGGGCCTTCTCCATAATGAGATGAATGAGAAACTGCCCCAAGTTAGTCATGCACTGCTTAGATATCGTATCCAATTCCTTTATTTTATCCCATACTGAGAACTGGATTGCAAGCTGTAAAAAAAAATACATACATTTATTATTACTTTACTCACACCATCATAAAAATCAACAGCCTGTAATAGTCCAACGCTGGACATAGCCCTCTACTTAGAAAGGAGATTTTGGCCAACTATACTCACGACTGTTTCTAAAAAGAAAGGCGTCTAAAAAGAGTGAGAGGCGTCTTCCAACACCCTCATTTTGGATTATGATTAGGTCCCACTCACTTAATAGAGGGGAGGGGGTAAGTTTATTGCCATCACTGGCAGATTTGAGAATTAAAAATGGGAACTAAGGCGAAAGAGGGAAAGGCTCATTACTTGTAAGGTTAGATGAGGGCATGTAAGAAATAGCTCAAAGAATTCATGAACGTGTACTAAAAAGTTGACCTGTTCGTTGTCGGGGAGTCCAAACCATCGTAAAATATTATTTATAGTCATGCACTGACTTTAACCTCCGACGCGTCGCCGTCACAACAGTTGTGACACCAAATTTTTACGCGGCAGCGTCTCTGTCACACTCACAACATTTAGAAGAATATATATCAGGGATTCCAAATATGACTTCGCTCAGCTGTGACTGGGTCACTAGTTCAAGAACGCGACAGTGACGGGTCATAGGTCATCCGCGCGCCGCGACGTCCTAAGAGTTAATGTTTTCTTTCTAAAGACTACTCCCGCACTAGGAATATATCCGGTGCCGAGTGAGACTTGACAAACATACATGTAACGGACACAAAGAACACCCAGACTTAGAACAAAAATTCGTGGATCACACAAAGCAGTAGGAGGTGACCAATTAAACCACTACGCCATTCGTGCAATCATTTGCATGCATACTATTTAATTATAAAAATGACTAGCAATATTTGGTGCCTTCTAGTACTACAAGTCTATTCCGCTTCACACTAGGCATGGGATAAAATCACAATCACCTGTGATTAATCATATGATTTTAGAATCATTTCTTCACATCTGTGTCTCATCTACAACATTACAGGTAAATTAGCTTGGAGAAATTTTTGCGTTTGTAGTAGTGTATGGTAGCGGACAGCGTAAACTGGTTTATTCTGGTTTTGTGCATGTTTCCACTTTCCACTATCAAGTGACGATTTTTTGCTTTAGATTGAAATATTTCGGAAACGGTGCGTTCTAGGCCAAAAATAACAAAAATTTTGACCCCCCGTAGACCCCCCGGAGTTTTAAAAACCTAGATGAAAGGAAAAAAAAAAAAGAAATCGGTCTCTCCTCTTTGAAGTTTCACTTCTATCGTGTGTGAATCGCACACACACCTTTTTTTTTTATAAAGTCAAAACCTTTTCCTTTAAAATAAAAACTTGTTTTTATTGAAAACAAAAATCAGAGTGTTGCTAGGGATAAGTATAAAATTAAATAGTAATGTTAGGATATCGAAACATTTTTGTATAGGCCAGAACGATATAGTGGAAACGCGCTCTAAGATCTGAGTAATATACACACCACTACATATGCAAAAATTTCTCGAGACTAATTTCACTGTACTGCGATTAAAAAAAAATGCAAGTGACCATGGATGGCGGTGGTCATTTACCATTGACCCGTCTGTTTGTTTACCCACATATACCATTATACACCTATCGTGAATATATTGGATAGATTTCCTCGCGTCTGTATTACAAGGACAAAGGATTTTTGAAGTGAAAACTTCTTTAAGCGTGTTGGGCATTTTTAAATAACAAACAAAAGAATGTATTTTTTTGAGATGGGAAAAAACCATTGAATTCGCGAAACTGTTACCGTTACCGACACCTCTGTATACAAGTATCTACATATATTGGCCCCGTTTACACGAGAGTTGTGTTTGGGTTGAAATACATTGATAATATAACTATATATAATATAAACATATATTGTGTATATACGTATAACATAGATATATATTCAAGACGGAACTTTTTGAATCGAAAAAACAAAAAAAAACACTACTGTCGGCACTTCCGGAGTCAAGGGTCAAGGGTCAAAGCGTCTTTTTATGCGTTAGCGTACATCATGTGGATCCTTCGTACCTGGTATTTACGATCAAATTCGCACAGCTTTTGTCCCAGCACTGCATAGTAAGGGTTGTAGGTTCGCTCCTGTAGACAGCAAGCGAGAAGCACATGGATTATCTCGCGGTCTTGCTGGCCTCTTAGCCCCAGGTGCTGGAGCTTCTCAAAGGCGTCCATGTAGTCCTTGAAGTTTAAAAAAAAAGTAAGTAATGTTAAAACGTTGTTAATGTTGAATCAGATTGACGGGCCTGTTGGTGCACTTATTAGTTACCCTGTATGCTAACCCGCAGGTCGTAGATTCGATTCCCACCCAAGACAAATATTGTGTGATGAGTACGATCATTTGTTCTGTGTCTGGTTGTCTATAAGTAGCTCGTAGCTTCGTTCGCGTGGAATTTGAAAAAGCGCTGCCTTAGTGGGTTCGATTCCCGGACCAGACAAAATTGTATAGGGTTTTTCTGAGAGAATTTTTCTCTCAAAAAAACCTCATAAAATTTAATAAGTTAAGTTAATAGCCTATGTTACTCCTTATACAGACAGCTACTCGGTAGTAAAATATCATCAAAATCGGCAAACTGTTTTGAAGCTTACCCAAAGAAACAGACAGACAAAAACATTTTAAACTGGTTTTAGGCATAGGTATCGTGCAAATAACCGTGTAAACATGAAAAAAACTTATTATTTTGACATTACAAACAGACACTTCAATTTTTTTTATTTGTGTAGATATGTATGTATTTGGAAATATATGTATAAGTATGTTTACTATCAGCAGTATGGTTATCATAGTACAGGCTTTGCCTGGTTTGGTCTGATCCCAAACTACTCCCTCTGTCTGGTCAGGTCTGATCCCTGTACTATGATAATACCGTGTGTGAGATGTGTGAAGTTATTATTATTATAGTATTGTAAACTTTCTTTCTGGATAAAATATTTATATTATTATTTATATACATTGCCTGACACTTCGACCAGGTTATACTGGCCATCAAAGACTAACTAAACTTGTGATCACGGCAAGAGGACCCTGAACCTGAACCCTACATTCAGAAAGCCATAGTTTAACCTAGGTTTAGATTTAATCATACGATGCGACAGTGGAATGTTTGATATAAATATCCCATGTCGCTCCTTACAAAATGTATTCAAATTTTTTTAAAGGAATTTGAAAAAAAGATACAAAATTTACATCCAATTCAGTGTCTATGGTATAAGTGATATGTAAGTAACTATGAATTAGTTTATTGCAACAAAAAACCTTATCTCATCTTGTTTTTGTATTTTATAATATTAGTTATAACGGGTGATAGTTACCTCAGCAGACATAATCACACAAAATATGCTTCTCCTAACATCAGTGTTCATCCTCTGCTTCCTGGCCAGTTCTAGGAGTTTCTGGTCGGTGGTGGTAACCTGGATGGCGCTGGTCTTCTCCTCTGGCCGTGAGATGTTCCCCTCCCACGCTGACCCCACCACCCACCACTTACCACGCTCGTCAGCTGAAGTCAAAAACAGTTATGGATATTCATTAGAGATTATATCTGAGTCGTAGTCGTACGACAAAGTTAAAATGGGTCAAAAACATTTGTTACTAATAAGTAAAAAGCATATAACATTTAAAAAATTAGAGGTCTGATAATGTTACGAAATATTGGTTCAATTTTGTATAATGGTACAAAACCCATTGTGTATGAGACCGATTCGCACTTAGCCGGTTTTTAATGACTCGAATTGTGTAAAAAAATTGTAAATTTTGTTTGTGACTCCTGAGTTGCAGACGTTCTTTAGGCGGCGATGGTCACTTTCCATCAAGTGACCCGTCTGATCCCCCCTTACAATAAAAAAAGTATAAGTATTTTCAGAACTTCAGTTTCTTACCTTTTAATAAATCTTCTAGCCTTATATTAAGTGGTGTGATATAATTCCCTTTTCTAATAATTCCTTTCGTCATCTTTTTGAGATGTTCCGTGTACGAAGGGTCGTAGTTTGGTATTTTCATTAAATTGTTGTTTTTCACAGCCATCAACACATCTAGTAGAAATTTTATACGCGACCTGCAAAAAAAAAGGTTTTATATATATATATTTTTTTTTCCTTCCTTAAACCTAGACTATAATCAGGTGTGTTGCAAGAGGTTGGAGTTTAGAGAGGTAGAGCCACTCCATCTCCCCTCAGTAAGGCAGCACATCGGCTCTCCTGAGTCTTCTAATTGGGTTTGGCTGAAGTAGCATACAGGATAACGGGTTTGGGTGAGTTGTCAAGCGGTCCTTGTAGTTGGCTGTGTATCGTTTTGCTTCGTCCAAAATGGTTAGGATTAAGTTAGGTTTTATATTGTCACGATAAATCACGAAGTTACTAGAAAAAAGTCGCGGCTCTTCAAGAGTTCAGTGGCCGTGCAATGCTGCATGGTTATTGTAATAACACGGCACGGGATAATGAGTTTTATCACTATACGCCTAAGATCGGAAATCGATCGATTTTAGTAATTCATATTATAAATTGCCACATGGTTATTGTAATAATAAGACAGGGCGGCACGGGACAATGAGCTTTAACACTATACGCGTAAGATCGGAAATCGATCGATTTTAGTAATTCATATTATAAATTGCCACATGGTTATTGTAATAATAAGACAGGGCGGCACGGGACAATAAGCTTTAACACTATACGCCTAAGATCGGAAATCGAGCAATCTTAGTAATTCATACTTATAATGTGAAAGCCAGTTTATTTGTAACGCTTTCACGCCTAAACTACTAAACAGATTTTAAAAATTATTTTACCTATGGACAGCTACAGTATCAGCGAGTAATATAGGCTACTTTTTACAGCGATAAACGACATACACGCGAGTGCAGCCGCGTGCAAAAGATAGTAAATAATATAATCGATCCGTTATAACGTCTCTTATATCGTCAGAAGGCGTTTCAATCCAAATCAAACCGAAACGAAATATAAATAAATATCATTTTTGAAGTGAAACTTCTTTGGGATCGTTGTGATTTGAAACTCGATGAAACGAAAATGCGTCACGATAGAGAAACAAACACATATATGTATAGGATTAAGTCGGCGAGAGACTGAGATAGCAGCATTCATTACACATTATTTTTAATATAATATTTTGAGTGTGAATATTTTTATCTTTTTATGTAATACTAGCTGGTACCCGCGACTTCGTTCGCATGGAAGTTGAAAAAGGCTGCCTTAGTGGGTCTGATTCCCGGGCCGGGCAAAACTTTTTTAGGGTTTTTCTGAGATAAAAAAATAATCGGCAGATTCACTTCTGCCGTGTGTGAATTGCACACACTCACTTTTTTATTTTATATTATTAAAAAATGATTTCCTAACGATTTATATGTTTAATACAGAGTGTCACCCCCCCCCCCCCCCTCATTAATCCCGGGGGTGTCGTAAGAGCCGACTCGGACCGTCACCCCACCGGGGTTTACGGCGGGGTGGTGTGTCGGACTCGGACCGACTAAAACCACACAGTAGGCCAAAACCTCCTTTCCAAGGAGATGCCTATGTCCAGCAGTGGACTATTATAGGCTGTTGATGATGATGATGATATGTTTAATAATAATAAAATACATACCCATCAGCAGAAGCCTCGTTCAACTTGGCGACTCTAGCCTGCGTTTCGTGTATGAAGTTCTTCAGCGCGAGAGGTTCCTCCTTCCGCAACACTCCGCCGACGCTCCTCAGAGCCACCAGCACACATTCGATGTTCTTCTCTGATAGAACATCCAGTAATCTTGTTAGGATGTCGTAGAGAAGAGATGCGTGATAGATCTGGAAAAGAGATTTTTCATTATAGATAAGTTTCATTTCATTTCATAGACAACTTTCATTCGTGTGGCAGTGACGCGACGGACGACGACTGCCACACGAATGAAAGTTGTATATTTACAAGCCCACGCACACATAGGGCCGCGCGCACAACTGAGTTGAACTATCTATATTAACTTTTACAGTAAAAATTATAGCATGCTGGTGAATCTTTTTGTCATACCAAATCATGCTTATCTCTGTAATAGAATATGCAGCCATATCAGTTTAGTAACAGTCCTAGCTTTTCTCATTAAGGAATGAATATTTCGGATATCTGACACACAACGCCATCTATTATCATGTTTTATGGTTATATTCTGTAGCTATTTATCTTTAGAAAAATAGCCTAAGTTACTCCCTATATTGTCTATATAGGGAGTAACTTAGGCTATTTTAATCTGGTAGTAAAATATTATCAATTTCGGTTCAGCTGTTTTGAAGATTACCCGGAACAAGCAGACAGACAGACAGTCAAAAATATTTAAACTGGTTTTTAGGCATAACTATCGTGCAAATAACAGTAAAAACCTATTTTAACATTAAAAACAGACATTTCAATTTCACTTTGTATAGATGTACCTATAGAAAAAAGCTCGAAGGACCAAGAACACAGAATAAACAGATAATGGAAAACTTAACAAAACAGTGTACAAAATTATACAATAAATACATTTTAAATAAGTATATTAATGTTATTCGTGCTATCGCAGTCACAAATACCTTAAAAGTATACAAGTGTGCGAGACAGGAAACCAAATTGTCCTGCAACTTGTCCTCAACCGGCTGTGGTTTCTGCATCATCACGTCGAACCTCTTTGATAACTCCTGCAGAAAATGAGCACCTGGGAATAGATCGTTAGTCATTTATTTTTGGTATATCTGCTGAGAATTGGCCCTGATAAAATTAAGTGAGTAATAATTCCATTTTTTACGGGCACAGAACACCCAGACTCCGACCAACAATTTGTGGGTCACACAAAGTGTCGTCAGATGTGGGGACTGGACCCACAACACTCAGTGTGGTAGTAAGCGGCGTGGCGACCGCTTAAAAAACTACGCCAAACCGCAGTTAAAAAAAAAATGCCAGCTTTGTTTCTTAAAGTGACTAAATGTAGTATATCATTTTTTAATAAGCTACTGTGAGAGCTGTGAGATTTAAGGATATTGAGGAGATTTCCTCATACAACGAAAAATATACTTAATAGCATCTATCACACCGAATTACAGAGTAACTATAAATCCTGTATTCGTAAATAACCAGCATTAACCGTTAGGTAAACTACGCAGGAAAACAGCACTGCAGAGAGAAGGAAAACTTGAAACAAACCCTATACCAACCCGTCTGGCCAGCGTGGTATAGTAGGCCAAAACCTCCTTTCTAAGGAGAGGCCTATGTTCAGCAGTGGACTAGTAAAGGCTGTTGATGATGATGATGATGATAACCGTTAGGACTGATAAATTTGCCTTGTCGGAAGAACTTTTTTTTGTGTTTGAGGGACATAAAACCCGTTCCTTGAGAACATAAGACCCATTATAAAATGGATGCCGTTTAAGTGGTCACCACCTTTTGTGGTTTCGATCCATACATGGGACACGTAGTGTGTAACAAATAGTTGTTTTAAGTCTGAGTTGTGATTGTGTCTATTTCATACGGACCGACCGAATGGCGTAGTGGTTTGAGTAACGAACTGCTATTCCAAAAGTCGCGGGTTTGATTCCCGCTCAAGTCAAACATTTGTGTGCATGAATATTTAATGTTTGATTTGTTCTGGGTGTTTCTATGTATAATAAGTATGTATTTACAAAAAAAAGTTGATGTATTTATATCAGTTTCTAAAACCATTGTACAAGCTTTGCTTAGTGTGGGACTAGATGACATTGTGTGAATGTGGTAGAATATTATTATTATATGTGCGATGAGTTGAGATGAGTTGAGTTGAGTTGAGTTGAGTACGATGAGATGGTTCCAGAGATATATATGATGAGTGACTATATACATGGAAATCTCTTATATAAAGATATTTCCACGTATCACTCATCACAGTATCTCTGGAACCATTAGAGCTAAAGACTTGAAATTTGGTAGGAATATTCTTTTCACCGAGTAGTGGTCAGCTAAGAACGGATTTTAAGAAATTAAATTTTTTTTTTTTAATAATGTAAATAACAAAACAACGTTTGCAGGGTCAGCTAGTCTTATATATAAAATTCTCGTGTCACAATGTTAGTTACCATACTCCTCCGAAACGGCTGGACCGATATTTATGAAATTTTGTATGCACATCGGGTAGATCTGAGAATCGGCCAACATCTATTTTTCATACACCTAAATGACAAGGGTGACCCACCCCTAAATTTTTTTTCAATATTTCCTAGAAATAATGTATATGGCAAAACAACGTTTGCCGGATCAGCTAGTATACATATATATGTTTGTAAATTCACCGCGACACAAGATGTATTCCTATTGCGAGAGTTGTGTTTTTAAAAGAAAGAAAATAGTCTATGTCCAAGTATAGCTGTAACGTACCTATCTCGGAGCCCACGTTGGCGTGTAGCACAGAGACGAGGGCGGCGTGTTCAGCCACCATGCGGTCGGGCGTGTTGCTGCTCGTGACGCAGGCGTCCAGCCACAACTGCGTCAGGATGCTGTTCACGGAATGGCGGCTGTTGTTCGAATATAAAGTTTCTATCGATGTGCAGGCCCAGTGGAGATTTGTGCCCGCCAGTTTGTTGAGAACGCCTGAAAAAAAAAAGGTTTTTTTATGATACGTATCGTATAACTTTAATCAAAATTGTATCTAGTATTGTTACATTTAAGTCAACTCAACCGATCTTTATGCTATTTTCCACGAAAAAAACTATTGTTTTCAAAAGGAAGAAAAAATCTTAATCGAACGGTGTTGCAAACAAGAGTTCGTAAATAATAAATCTATCTGTAAGCAAATATAAAAAATATTTTTAATGAAACTAAAAAATTATCACAAATTTTTCACAATGTTAATGAAACTTACACATAGCTTTCTTGGGCGGCGCCTTCAAAGAAATGGAAATTTTAGCATATTTTATGGTTGTAATCTATACAAATAGATAAAATTGGAGTGTCTATTTGTAATATTAAAATAACCATACCATTCCATGGTATGTTTACACGGTACATATGCCAAAATATCATTTTTTACAATTTTTGTCTGTCTGTCTGTTTGTTCCGGGTAATCTCTGGAACGGCTGGACCGATTTCAACGGGACTTTCACTGGCAGATAGCTGATGACATAAGGAGTAACTTAGGCTCCTTTTTTTAGACTAGCCTCGCCCCGCGGCGTTGCCCGCGGTTATAACAACAAACGCGGGTAACACCGCGGGTCTCAGCTAGTTTTAAATATTTTCACTGATTGATTAATACTCAACACTCACTTTTTATTTGTCGTTTCAGCTGTAATAACTGTTTGTCTGAACTAGAATCCTGTTTATTTCTAAGATGTGGTGGAATGTAGGCACCTTTTTCTTCCTGAAAGAGTAGTCAAGGTTATGAGTGTTACAGTATAGTGTTTCATATATGAATACGCAAATACAAACATTGCAGGTGATGGACGATTTTCGTTTTATAAGCGACTAATAACGCCATCTGTTATAAAGTCACGAAAACTATAAATTTTAGAGTATTGGTGAAACATGCCGTGTGTGCATTGTGAATATCCAAAGTATTTTTGTATATTTTAGTGGCATTATCTGTTCCTAACCCTCAGCTTGCAATTTTTACTCATATTGATCAAACTTAATAAAAAACTCATACCTTAATAATATTTCCTTCCTTATCTCTCTTTCTTCCATAAATGTCTTCCCACACATCAGGTTTTTCTTGCTTTTCTTCAACACTATTTTCTTCACCTTCATCATTTACCATGTCATCATCTTCATCTCCTGACAGATGTGACACTTCATCGTCACTGAACACTTTGCTCAAATCTTCTTCAGCAACTATTTTCTCTTTCTTCGATTTCTTGTCATTTTGCTTAACTTCCTTTTCCTGTTTTGCTTTCATTGAATTAGCTTTTTGTGATTTTGTTGGTTTTTCTAGAAAATAATATTTATAATATTTTTTATTAATTTTTGGACATATTACACTCAACGATTTCTAGTTTTAAACGAAGCAGAGCTATGTGTTTCTCTGTGTGTATATGTACTATGAAAGATAGATTGACTGATAGAATACTAGTATATTTTTATGTGAATATATACATTTTATACACAGAAAACACCCAAACTCCGAAACAAATATTTGCAAATCGTACATTTGGTCCAACCCGGGAATCGATCCGGAGATCTCAGCACAGCAGTCGCATACGCTACCACAGCACTACCGAGGAAATAAATTTCAGAATGTAAATTTTATGAACATTTATAAATATGTAACTAATCAAAACATTTGGTAATGGTAACATGGTTATGATTCATTATCAGTTTAGATTTCCATCCATCCATTCTGATTTGCATGAACATGGATCAGAACTCGTGAGTTGCAGGCGTTCATGGGCGGCGGTAGTCACTTTTCATCAGGTCTGCTCGTTTGACCCATGTAAAGTTCCATATAAAAAAAAAAAGAAGCAGGTCCGACAGCAGTTGCATGTGATGCGTAACATCCTTCCTTGTTACACATTGCCATCAATTACCATAAAATTAATCCAAGCTGACAGCAGAACTGACAGGAAATCAGAAGGAAAGAAGGGTGGGCGGGACACAAACAGCAGTTAGGCGAGAGGAAGAATTATACACATCTAAAAGGCCCCGTGTGTCTGCATCACTGCATTTTAATTTTAAGTTACTTGATAATTTTGTTACCTGTCTTCTGATGATTCACTTTTTATTTTCTTAGCAGACTGCAAAATAATAATAAAATATATATATAACTACGTACCTTCAGGTGCTTCATCAGAAGAGTCACTTCCTTCATCAGTATCACCATCATTGCTATCATATTCATCACTCATATCTTCACCATCATCATTTGAATCATCTGCTTCATCTCCTAACATTTCATCATCAGAGACATCACTTCCTTTATCTTCTCCCATTGAAATATCAGAATCGAAATCTTCATTATTAGTGTTTGTGTTATCTTTCTTTTCTTTTTTACCATCTTTTTTATTTTTAATATCCTTGCCGGTGACCACAGCCAAGTCTTCTTCAAAGTCAGAATCACCTTCAACTTGTGCTAAATGTTTTTCTGCTGCTACTATTTGTTCTGTGGTTGAACTATCACATATTTCTAGTAAATCTACAGTGTTGAGTTAAGAATATGTAAGTAGTAAGTACAAAAAATAATTAATAATATCATTAAGATTACCATTAGATGAGCTGTGTGCTGATTTGCTTACTAAATTAATTTAATTGAAAATGTGTAAAAGTATGCTTTTTAAAAGGCTGGCAACGCGTTTGTGACTCCTGACTTGCAGACGTTCATGGGCGGCGATGGTTACTTTCCATCAGATTATTTTACCATCCAACATAAATAAAAATACTCCTGTAGAGATAGATAACTAAAAAAACTTTACCTTACCATAATTAGTCAAAATTTTACCACTTTCAAAAAATTCTTCAAATATTATTTGTATAGAAATGTTCATTGAAAGTTATTGGATAGAAATTTAATAGCTTTATCAATAAAACTATGAAAATATAGAATAGAATGTACAACAGCATATAAAAATAATTTCTAAGGATCTTTATGATTCAAAAGTGATGGTAATATAATATAGGCCAATGTTGGCTCTTGGTTGGACTCAGAGGGTCTCAAATGAGGAAGTTCTGCAACGCGTCAACCAGAAACTGCAACTTTTGGAGACCGTCAAGAAGAGAAAATGTACATATCTCAGACACATGCTTAGGCATGAAAGATTTGAATTTTTACAGGTCATTATGATGGGCAAGAAGGGGGTTTGGTTGTAGAAGTAAGTCATGGCTACGCAACAAGCGGGAATAGATGGGAATCACGCGTGCTGGCAAAAAACAAGAAAGAGTTTGCAGAGCTGATTGCCAACCTTTGCTTGTGGGAGAGGCATTTATAGAAGTAAAGAAGTGATGATTAACATTTTACACTTTTAGTTTTAAAAAGGATACAGTCAAGACCGTCGCTAGCAAAGTTCTTGCTTTTATTCTTTGATTTGTTCAAACCAAGTTGCTTCTCTAGTTTTTTGATAATCTTATCTTCTTCCTCATTCGCTTGGAGCAACATCCTGTTTCTTCGTTCTTCCATTTCGCTCTTTAGTTTTTCAGTTGCTTTTGTTTCTTTCATGCGTTCTTTACTGAGGATGTCCAGAGGAGTTTCAATCTTAGCCTTTTTCTAATTGGATAAAGAAATCAAGATTTAGAATAAGGATTAAAAGCTGCTTTTATTAAGACTATTTTTTTCTATTTAAAGTTGCAAATTAGATATTGGTATTGCAAAGCCCAACTTAGCAATGTCCATAATTCATTATTTTTGGTTGTGAATTCATATACAGGTTTATCATACTAACTTTTAAACTATTGTGTTTAATATTTTATATAATAATGTTCATGGGAATTACTCACAAAAGGTATTAAGTACATTTTACATTATCAAAACACAATATTAAAAAAAAATTGGGAATATTCTTAGGTTTACCCATTTCGCTATCATATTAGTTGTTTTATTTATTTATTTTAATACTTTATGCACAAGTGTGGGTTGTACAATGGCAGACTTAATGCCACAGGCATTTTCTCCCAGTCTGCCTTAGGGTGGTGCTGAATAGTGTGACTAGTTGCAAGAGAGATTGTTATGGAAATTAAGAGAAAATTATTGAGAAGTTAGACAGAAACACTGCGATAAATACATACATACAAATGTACCAAATACATACACATACATAAATACTTACCTAGTTACATACATACATAAACCTAGATATTGATAATATATAAAACTGTAAGGTTGTTATGAATCTGCTAGGGTGTCCAGAATGCGATCTCGAACTTTCATTTTGAATGAGAGGCGGCTAGATGCTATCCTAATTTCCAGAGGGAAAGTTCCAGAAGAGCACGCATTGGAGCAAGCGGAGGTATGCATGGGGCATAGCAGAAGAGGATTGTTTGATCAGAGGGTTCAATCGTGGTTGGAACACAGATAATGGAATGAAGATGTCAGGTAGGAGGGGGAAATGGGCGAGTTGCGCATATAATAGAGGGTGACGAGGGCGCGCAGCTGACGGGGCTGACAAATAGTGAGCCAGTTTCATTCACGACGAAAGGAGAAAACATGGTCATATTTGCGAAGGTCAAAGACAAATCTAATGCAGTTATCCAGTAGGCAGTCATATTTTTTGAGTAGATCTACATTCAGGTCATAATAGCATACATCACTATAATCCAAGATGGGGATAATAAGGGTCTGTACAAGCATCGCTTTTGTCTTGGAGGGGAGGAAATTCTTAAGCCGATAAAGGGCTCGTAGCATACCTGTCTCTCTGGCTGACGCTCTTGACCTGGGTTTGCCAGCTGAGCTTGCAGACGATAATTAGGCCTAGGTTATTAACAGCAGAACTAAATGGAGTTATGATACTGGACTATTTACGTTTCTTACTCAACAAGTTCACCAAAGAAAAACTGTCACTTGAAAGTTTATCTTCAAAGATATTCTGACGATATAATGATTCGGTGCAATGACCACGAATGAAGAAGATTACTGGGGGACCGAAGGTTTTTGTCCAAGTTCTACATAAAAGTTCGACAACGGTAACTAAATACATTTTCGTTGATTAGTTGCGACTTACCTTAATCTCAACACCAGGTTCTGGTGATTCTGGAGGCCGCTTAACAAACTGGCCTGGAGTGTATTTAACTTGAGAAGGCTGTTTTTTAACACTTTTTAAATAATGTTCTTGTCGATGGACTTTCTTTTGCTGCCTTTTCTGTTTTCGCAAAGCCTTACGCGTGTTTTCAAATTTAGGACGAACGTTACGTTTAGGTTTCTTCATTTTAATAAATAATACTGTAATTGGGAAACCAAAACAAACAGTTAAACTTTTAGGTTATTGTTTTTGACAACTTTTTGCACGATGATACAGCCATAGACCATAGATTTAGTAGACCAAAAAAATAAAAACATACTATTCTATGGATACGCGTACAACTTCAGATTATTACTAACAAGTTGGACGATCTGAGCGTACAACATACAAATCTATTTCAATAAAAAACTGAAGTTTATACCAAAATGGATCACAAAATTATAGAGCTCACCAACTTTTGTCATATGATTTCGTACAAACACAGAGTACAGTGATAATACTACCTACTTATTCAAAATAATGCACATCTCTCATGAAAAATGCTTTATAATAAATTGTGGTATGTAACAATGCACACGTGTGTACGTGTGTATTTACGGGATCAAGAAACATTATATAAAGAACGTTGGTTAAGGAAATTAAACTAGACATTAAAACCAGTCGGAATGCCATGTCTATTTCTAGTATTTGTATTATATAATAATCAAAAATCACAACATAATTTATAAGAACACTTTCCTAAAATTAATACGTTTAAATTATTTTACGTTAGAAAATTAAGTGGTTAAAATTAATAATTGCAAAATAACATATACATGATGGAATAGTGATGGAAGCAGAAAGGTTCGTGGCCAAGTGGTAACAGAGTAGGTTAGCACACTGCAAAGTTAACCAACCCTAGCCAGGTTAGTCCATAGTTGGGTGAACATTCTTAAAACATTGAGACCCCTCCATATCTTGGAGAGTATGTTAAGCCGTCGGTCCCGGTTGCCATACGAACATCTGTGACAACCGTTACGGGTAATTCGAGCCCTAAAAAGTCCCTAAAAGTCGACTGACGAGACTGAAAGCTGAAGATGATGATTATCCTAAAATTAAGAAATATATTGATCCCATTTCGTGTGTTTATTAAAAACTTTGTTTTTTTATCTAAAATAAATCACAACCTATCCATAATTCAATTTTTACATTATTAATCACAAACATATTTTAATCAATTTTTCTCATATGGCAAAAGTTAAAAATTCCAAGGTAGGGAGAATACCCAATAAAGCCCCACAAGGCAAGTAAGTGTTAAACTGCACGTGCATGAACTGCATAGCATTCTATTCTGCGTGCACACCTATACCTATAATAGTTTTATTCGTTTTTGTAATCTAAATGGAGCAAAGAGAATTGTTCATCGCTTCGCTTCATTTTACGCAATTCTCTTAAATTTAAATTTTTTGGGATTGTGATTTAATCATTAACTATTTATTCAGAATTGTTTATTTTCTAGATTGTTTGAATACTGTATTATTGGTTTGATAATAATCAAGATACATATATAATACAGTAATAAAAAACTTCGTTTATTCTTCCACAGCAATAACTTTTGCAGTCCACGAAACGTGCTGCAGTCGAAAAATTGTCTATGGTTGGAAATTCACAAAAGCATGACGGCAGTGACGGGTGATTATTATTTGTGAAGAAATTCATATTAATGCTGTTAAGTTGAAGAGCACGCCAATAATAACATCTGCTGCGTAATTTTGTTGTAAAGACGTGTTCATATCACTTTCGGCATGATGGTGGAAGGGTCTGCGTTTACTCGGAACGATGTGTTCCAAATGGCTATACGCGTTGCTTTTGTGTCTGCTGTGACTTACTTCTCTATAAAATGGCTTGTGAACCAAATAGATCCTACTTCTAAAAGTCGAAAAAAGGCAGAGGAACGGGCTCGGGAACAATTACGCAAGTAAGTATTGATCGTACAATTTACGTCATATTTGTAAAAAAAACCATCTTTTTGTCTTCTCTTCATATAAGAATCCGCTAGGAAGTAATTTTGGAGCTGTTATGCCTATTTTATGAATCATTAAACTATTGTGTGAGATTTAGAGCGTAACTTCTTCCAGAACATCTAGCGGTTTTTAATGTACCTATGCATCACCAGTTTTTGTGTTTATATCATGCTACTAATATTATTGCCTAGATTACATGCATATATCAGGTAATAAAATACACAAATGTTTTGACAACATTTTAATTAACTAGCCATGAGATAATGTATTTATTAGTTAAAAAAAACTAGCAGTACATTGTATTAAATAATCTTTAGACATGATACAGAAGTCTGTATGATGTCTAAAGGTGTATATTATATCAAGCAAGCACAAACTTGATATAATTCTGTGTGAAAGTCATCAATTTATATTGCAAATTTCATTGATAACAAAAAGTTTTTAATATTCATATTAAAATGTATTACAAATAACAAGATCTCGAGTAACTTAAGATCACATAGTAGGTACATAGTTATTTTATTATCAGTTTCAATTCAAATTATAATTTAAGTTTCTGTAATAGGTTTGATGTTATCATTTAATGATTCTTATATTTTGGTTCTAATTGTATGTTAAATGTGTTCTATACATGTGGCTGTTTTTATTTTAAATTTAGAATGGTATTCCATAGAGTAAAAAGTCCTTTTCTATTGCAAAAAGACTAGAATACCATTAATATCATATCATATAAACCCTACAGTTTAACTGTTTTTTTTTAAAGAATACTTAGAAATTATAATCTTTAGTGTTCCTCTATGTTTACTCAAATATCACATTGAAATAACTTAAAAGCAATGTTAACTACTAAACTACTAATCAGTGTAATTTAAACTTTAAGGTTCTTGTTATAAAGTTAATAAGACAATCTTTCAAAAACTTGAGTTATTTTACCATTTTTTGCTTTGTCTTCCTGCCTATTAAAAATAATAAAAAAGTCTTTTAATTACCATATCAGTTCAATATACATTTTGAATTATGTTTTGTTAAATTATAACTTAATAAAAATTTAATATTAATTATAGTAAAATAATTAATAATAATAGTAAAAATCTCATCTTCCTATAAATACCTTTTTATATACATTATCAACCTCCTCCAAATTTCTTTTGTCCATGCTTCTATTATTATTGCGGTTGGTTACCCCATTGTTTTGGACAATGGCCTACCATCCATAAAATCTTCTGACCCTCTTTTTGCTTACATAGTCCACCTATTAGGTCACTCACAGTGTCCATTGATTGTCAGCACATTGACTAAATCCATTGTTTGTCTTATGCCTGTACTCATTACTGCTATTATAAATCATAAATCAATAATATTAACCTATAAATAAAAAGCATTTGTACATACATGTTTAAATAATGCAGTTAAACTGTAATAGCTTTTTAATCATAATTGAAACTCAAGCTAAACATGTTTAAACAGTCACTGTACAGACCTTGCATGTGTTAAGGATGTCTTGCAGAGCCGGACTCAGCAGTAAGCACACCCTTGCACTGGACAAGTTGACTGACCATGAGATGATCATCGCATCACAGCTCGTCGTGCCTGATGAGATTAATGTAAGACTTCTTTTACATCCTTTCTTGGCTTTACTCCCATAAATAAACACATAAAGTATCAACAACTTCAACGCTCCCGAATTTGAATGGGCTTGTTGTTTTTATACACCATACTTTCAAAAGACCTAAATTGTTTTTTATTAGTGGTCTTAAATAATTATTGTAGGTATAGGGGTATTTGGCACTGCGGTCTCAGCACTGAAAGCCCCGCCACCCATAACATTCCATTTTTCTGAAATTAAATATTCAGGAATTTTATCTTTGTACTTTTTAACTGACCAAAATAATAAATAGACCAAATAACTGAATAGTCTATTAAACATTTTTTGTATAGCACACTGTTCACCAAAAAACTTTCCAGTAATTATTTGACAATACACTACAAAAATTTGTATATTCCTTCAAGGGTGATTTTACAAATTATGCTGTCATGTTTCCAGGTAAACTGGAAAGACATAGCAGGTTTAGACCATCTAATCCAAGAGCTACGCGAGACTGTTATCCTGCCGATACAGAAACGTGAGTTGTTCGCAGACAGCCGGTTAACGCAGCCGCCAAAGGGTGTGCTGCTGCATGGACCCCCTGGTAAGCTATTTAATGTTTTTTCATTAATTTTATTATAATCTCTCTCTCCGAGTCGATTTCGGCTACAGCGACTGCTGGACAGGCTCAGCAGATGGCGTCTCGTTGGTCCGCGCGGTGGTGTGCTCGCATATGGCTGTTGTAGCCAATTTTGGCCTTAAAAGTTCTAGAGCATTTTGGACAAGTGAGAACGCCGCCACTATAGTGGTAAATTAAAGCTGTTGGTGGTCTGGCTTTTAGCTCGTCTCTTTTTGTGTCGAGCTCGTCTTTACGTGAGCTTTCAAAGGCATCGATCTTCTGCCTTACGAGACGTCTCCATTCAGGGCGGTTTGCCGCAGATGACTCCCACGATAAGGGGTCAATATCGCAGCTTTCATCAACTCATGAAATTTAAAATTAGATAAATCAGTTGGAAGTGAATGTTTGGTAAAATCCTGCATTGTAGTAACTATCAGTGCACTATGAACTTTTTAATGTTGTAGTTTTAAAACAACCAAAGAATAGTATCAAAATTTGATTATTTTTTTGTGACAAAATAAAGTCTGATGCGTTGATAATTATTAATAAAATACTAGTATACATAAAATATTTTTGAAATTTTTTACATAATATTTTGTGTTCAGCTGTAGCCTAAATACAGTGTAACTGTGTCAGGGATATTAAACTTTATGATGACCTTTATATTATAATAATGACTATGACTAAACTCTATAATGCTCAATAAATGCTAATTATGCAAATAAAGAAATTTATAACTGTGTATACTTTTGTATTGTTTGTTTCATCACACAATTTTGGGTACTCTGTCAGATCTATACTAATATTATAAAGGTGAAGAGTTTTTTTGTTTGTTTGTTTGTTTGTTTGTTTGAACGCGCTAATCTCAGGAACTACTGGTCCGATTTGAAAAATTCTTTCAGTGTTAGATAGCCCATTTATCGAGGAAGGCTATAGGCTATATATCATCACGCTAAGACCAATAGGAGCGGAGCACCAATGAAGAATGTTTCAAAAACGGAAAAAAATTATTACTATTGAGAGACGCAGACGAAGTTGCGCGGGTCAGCTAGTTTGAAATATAAATATTAAAGTATATTGAATAGATTTAAGAGAGAGATTGAGAAAGGTGTAACTGTGGGGAAGGAAAATAAAACAGAACTTAAGTTAACATTTGTTGCACAGTGGCTACAAATAAATAAAGTATTACACTAAATGTAGATAAACAAAACAAAAATATGTAGATAGTGTAACGGTGCATTTCGCACCATTACAGTAAATTGAATCATAGACGTGTTTTTAGTTTGTCTGTCGAATTTTGTGACGTTTCAGCGAGTGCCGATTGTCGATGAGGCGGACGAGAATGATAGTCGGTGCTGATCGTCTATGGTAATTATCGATTTGGTTTGTCTTGTCCTGCCAACATTTTTTGTCACGTTCGAGGTAGTGACGGAGCTTTTGCTCTGGCAACACGAGAGCGTCACATTTGGATTTCGGCCCGGGTGAGATGAGTGAGGGCGAGTGATTGTAATTTTTTAATAGTAATCCATATTTATTTGTTGTAAACGAGGGCCTATTTCCTCTTTAAATGTTTGGCCAAGGACAAGAAAAACCAAATCGATAATTACCATAGACGATCAGCACCGACTATTATTCTCGTCCGCCTCATCGACAATCGGCACTCGCTGAAACGTCACAAAATTCGACTGACAAACTAAAAACGCGTCGATGAACCAATTTACTGTAATGGTGGGAAATGCACCGTTACAATAGGATAGGTACAATAAAATAATTATGAATTCATAGTGAACCAACAGGCCCGTTGTCTCAGCCTTCTAACCTAATGTTAGAGGGGACTTAATTTATCAATAATATCGTTACGATCACGTCACGTTAACGTTCTCTCCTCTTTTACCCCTCTTGCCTCTTATTATTTCTCTACAACATGTTCTAATCTTTTTCAGGATGTGGCAAAACGCTGATAGCCAAGGCGACAGCTAAAGAAGCTAACATGAGCTTCATAAACCTGGATGTATCGTTGCTCACTGATAAATGGTACGGTGAGACTCAGAAGTTGGCAGCTGCGGTGTTCAGTCTCGCTGTAAAACTGCAACCTTGCATCGTGTTTATTGGTATGAACATTTACACAATTTAGATACCAGCGAATATCAGTCTTAGACGCTAGGACCCCTCGAGAGAATAACTTTTTTCTGTGTGTTTTATATGTCTTTCTTATACCCTGGACAATGTTTGTGCATTTATAAAACATGTTGGGAAATTCTGATTATATTTAAAAAAATTATTAAAAAAGTATTTTTTTTCGATATTTAGTGGGTTGTTAACCAAGTAAAATATGGTTGTACCAAAACCTTTTGAAAATCGTTTTGAAGCTCCCGAGATTTTTGTTTTTGAATCTAAGACAAAAAAAATAGGATACACGGTCCCAATTCAATCCGCGGCAATAACACAGAATAGATTAATTTCAGTTTCAGAAACGATCATATTAGCCAGATAGCTTGTAAATACTTGTATTTACTAGATATTAGTAAAGATTTAACTGTGGTAGATTCAAATACATACAATACGTCGGTTATAAAATATTATATGTATGTGATAGACATATAATTATGTTCATTTCTTTGATTGTGAGTAAATGAAGTCATTGAAAACGGCGAATGCTAGCTCATTACTTTAAAATAAGCGTGTCGGCTCTATTCCTCTTTTCCATTGAACAATGTTCGCGGGGACTCGTAACTAGTAATCAAACCTGTTAAAATAAAAACGAAACAGAAGAGGAAATCTATAAATTTACTGTTCGAACATGTGATCTAAAGGTGGTGGTTATTTAGGACTGTGGAGGGTTATAACCAGGTGAGTGTGCATTGTTTTTTATGCCCAACCTCAAATTTCAAGATTATCGTCTTGTATTTAGTTTTGTTCTAAATCAGTCATGGTGCCCGGTACAGACTGATGATGGTGAATGATTTTTTCTTTCACAGACGAGATCGAGTCGTTCCTGCGCACCCGCACACAACACGATCACGAAGCCACCGCTATGATGAAGACACAGTTTATGTCGCTGTGGGACGGGCTCATCACAGACCCTACGTGTACTGTCATTATCATGGGTAAGGCACATACATGTTTTTATTAACTCGAGGATTGTTTCTAATTTTATGACTCATTTTAACATAGATGAATGTAAACATACCCTATGTTCGAGTCGAGTTATTTTTTAAAACAGTAATTTTAATTCTCCTTAAATTTGAATTTTTCTAATGTAAGCAAGTTCTGAGATTTCGCTAGTAGCGCTAATAAATCAGAATTGAATTGATTATTCAGAAACATTGTTCTTTGTCTCTAGGAGCTACAAACCGCCCGCAAGACTTGGACAAGGCCATCCAGCGCCGCATGCCGGCCACCTTCCACGTGCCCATGCCCAGCGAGCAACAGCGTGAGAGGATCCTACAGCTGATCCTTCAATCTGAGCCCATCACTCCTGATGTGAGTATACCGATCGCACGAGTTTACATCACTAGCTGATAAACTAACATAACTCCATAGAGTAGTATAAATATCTAGTATGTTTATTATGGTCTATAATATGATGGTGACCCGTCTGGTCACCTGAATATAAGTGACTATCACCATCTATGGACAACTTCAACTCAAGTGTCACAATAGCGTTCCTGCCCTCTGAGTCCCCTCTCTCTTAGCATCAAATGAGAGGGTTTTGAACTCTATTGACCTCATTCACTCTGAAAAGCAATGAAAAAATTGATTAACGCCGGTTTTGGGTGAGACCGTCACTCTGGTTGAGCTGGCCCATTTGTGCCGAAGCTTGGCTCTGTTTATTGGTCAATTTCGCCTGGGATCTGAATCAATAATAATAATAATAAGAACTTTACACATCACTTATACGGCTGTCTGATTCCAAACTAGGCAGAGCCTGTGCTATGGTAACCAGACTGCTGATAAACATACTTATATATTTCTAAATACATACATATTATAGATAAATTACACCCAGACACAGAACAAATGATCGTACTCATCTCACAATCACTTATCCTGGGTGGGAATCGAACTCACGATCTTTGGCTTAGCAGTCAGGGTCACTAACCACTAGACCAACAAATATGAAAAGCATATAACTAAATGTTTGTGTGACAGATCGACTACAAGCGGTTGGCGAGTGCGACGGAGGGCTTCTCCGGCTCGGACCTGCACGAGCTGTGCCGCCAAGCCGCCGTCTACCGCGTGAGGGACCTCGCGCGGGACGAGATCGCCAGGGAACTTAATGAGGTATTTTCTCTTTCCATTCACTCTTACTTACATTAAATATATTACGCTGTACCGTTTGATAACTTTTTTGTGACCTCTAGAGATGGGACAAAATCACACTGTGAATGAACGGTGATTTATCATTCGATTTTCATGCGTTGTTGCCAATAAGCTGTTTTCAGACTATGCATAAAGACCCTATTGCAAATATTTAACAGTAAATCTAGTAATTATTTAAGTAAATATAACTACCATTCCCTACATAATAATTAAAAATACTAAATTTACTGTTAAATAGCGTCTAATCTACCTACCTAGCAACCATAACCTCCGCACGCAAAAATCGTCTGATAAATCACAGTTCACTGATTTTGTCTAGTAACCTCAGTAAAGTTTTAACAGTGCGTTAACCAGATACATATGTCTTTAAAGGCTAGCGGAATAACTGTTGTACCGAAGTTAAAGCAAAGTTTTGTGGCATATAACAATAGTTTTAATAGAATGTTGCAGGTTAAGAATTGAGTGACTGAGTTGATAATGCAGGCTTACTTAAATGCAGTGTCAATTTTAATAAAAAAATTGTTTAGCCTATAATTTAGTTTCTTCATTCAGACTTATCAAAAGGAAGTGCGTGATTTTTTTGTTCAATGGTGGCAAAACTTCAAAACCAGAAAAATACAGTAACACTTCACTGAGAGTAATTTATTAGTGTTTCATGGCATAGGGGGGCAAACAAGCAGACGGTTCATCTGACTACCGCCGCCCATGAACACCTGCAACTCAAGGTTGCAAAGGGTAATAATAATAAAATTCTATTGATATAGCCATCGTTACAATATATTAGGACCCTGATTCCTGTAGTAGGTTACAACCTGTGTTACAGTGTCTTCACTCATTTCGTTGTATCAACTATTGATTTAATCCTGTTTCGCTCGGTACATACAAATATACCTACATACCACTCACGTCTGTATTTCTGACGAAGTAGACAAAGCCGTACTATTTTTTTTTTTTATCAACCATAACTGGTTCTTGTATAAAACGAGCCTGTTGATATGAATATTAAGTATGTAGTTACATATAATATTAAGTGATAAAAAAGGCAATAAAAGGAAAAAATATATATATAAGGATTGAAGAGTGTAAGGTCAAGGTCACAAATCTGTAACTCGAACTGATTCATCATCATCAATAGCCTCTAATAGTCCACTGCTGGAATTAGGCCTCTCCTTAGAAAGGAGGTTTTGGTGCTGTTGTCCTAAGTAGTTTGCTCCCTTAGTAGGCTCTTACGACACCCACGGGATGAATAGGGGTGGTGACACTCCGTATTCTTAATCCGTCACCGTCGGATTACAATTTAAAATAAGAAAAGGGACCTAATTTTTTTATCTTAAATTCTAGACTGAAGATACAACAAAAACGAAGTCGTCAAATTCGGACTCTGATGACGAGTACGTGGACGCTGTGCGACCCATCACCATGGACGACCTTCGTCTGTCGCTGACCAAGCTCAAGGAGTCTAAGATACAGTGCGGGACCCTCGCGCCCGCCTTGAGAATAGAGCTCGACTAGCTCACAAGTAACGGCCTCGAAGATATTGGGTTCGAAAAGGTTGGTCCCAAATATCGGTTCAGAATTAAAAATGATATTAACAAATAGTTTTTATCACCAAAATATACTTTGATAGACACTGGATTTGATCAGGAGTATTAGTAGTATAATCTTCATCATAATGTTATAATTTGACGCTTCTGATAATAATATCCAATCAAATAAGCATATTCCAGACCACTGCTGAACATAGGTCTGCACTCTCAAACTGTGTCAGAGTAACTGGGCCAGTTCATCGCAACTACCTACTGCAGGGCAGAGAGCATACCCATTTGCCAATTTGAGCTCGTCCTCAAACATAGTTTCTTAATTTTCTGTCATTCTGTTCTATTTCGCTATGTTACTCAATCTATCTTATCATTAAATTTTCTTTGTCTAAACCTATTGAGTTTAATACCAAGGCCAAAACCTCCTTTCTAAGGAGAGGCCTATGTCCAGCAGTGGACTAGTATAGGCTTTTGATGATGATGATGATGATGATGAAACCTATTGAGTTTATATTTAAAAGTCATGAAAATAACGACTAATGAGCTGGTTTACATAGAACAAAAAAATTACATAGTTGTTTTTTTTCAATGTTTGCTATTTACTAAATTAGAAAATAAAAAAATACTTACTTGACCTTGGCAATAACATTCTTATAATAGTTTCCTCTACTGATCCTGAACCTTGTTACTAGTAATTTTAAAACATTATTTGCTCAACACAAACTTAGTAATATGTTTCGTTTTTTATGTAAATATCACCAAAGTACTAATTTAGACAATTTCTTCAAGAAAATTTATTAATACTGAACCATTTTATGAGACCTATGCTTAAAACGTACGCGGGAGCATAAAGTACCTGATAACACTTATGTTAGATATTGAGAATATTACCGATATTATTAGAACCCGTTATCTGAGAGACCGTTACATTATCATGTAGAACTTTTTAGTGTATTGATAAGATCTGCCTAAGTCTATGCCAGTGCTTAGGTTGATTCTAGTCTAGTTAAGAGAGATCGTTATGAGGTGCTCTGGAGTGGACAGATGCACAAATGAAAATCTGTCATAGTCTATAATCTTCTTGACTAAGACCGACTTGATATTAGTAGTTGAACTCAACAATAATTCTTTAATTGTATACGACCTTGGAATAAAAGACTCCTTTTGAAGATTATTCTAGGAGTTATGGTATATTTCAAACTGATATGAATTTATACATTAAATGGAGATTTGTGCTTGTTTCATTAATATGTTCCTTAATGCTTGATGATCCGTCAGTTCCTACGACTAGCTCCTGTCCAAACCTCCGTATATACCATCACTAAAAATTAATCTGTATTATTTATTTAGCATTTTAAACATCATATTTAAACAGCGGTATCACAACTTGACTGTCTCTTTACTTAATCTGTATTAAAACTTGCAAAATTAAAGTTAAAATTCGTCTAGTAAAACACAATATCATACTGATAAAGAAATAGCAGAACAAGCTTTTTTGCCACTAATTTTTCAACCATGATTGAATTTTAAATTGTTTTAATGAAAAAGAAAGGTCAAACATATTTAGTAATATGGTTTTTAGACAGATAAATTTGGATCTTGTTTATGACTCATTGTTTATGGTCTATATTTATTATCTCTAAGTTTCAGGCATAGAGCCTCCCTTTGCTACATAGTAAAACATTGAAATTTCATAACCTACATAGCATAGATAATATGCTAAATGTAATTAAAAACTAAGATTATGGACTATATACTAAATTCTCGCTGTATGTGGGTTGGGTCATTTCTGTACAAAACTGTCCAAGTCATGTGTTCACTCCGCCAGCACATTTATTTATTGTGTATAATTCTGTTACCACAGGTTGTGTAAATTGATATGTTGTATTAATTCAGATGTCACTGTGTACAATCAACAATCAACTATATTTGTTCCTATTAAAGTTGATTGTAGTGTATCGTTTGTTTCTGATTTGTTCTTAAACATATTGCAAGCCTGCACCCAGCATCTGTGTCACCCAGCGCCTGGACGTGTAATTTCTTGTTAAGAGAAAGGCAAGCAATGTTTTTAAAAATAAATAACTTTTTGGTGTGTAACATCCGTCTGAGAGACGGAAGTGCGTTACAGGAAGCCGGTTAATATGACTGATGAGCGCGCGCGGTCCTAGATTTGGTCGTCTGATGGTGATGATTGGGGTGGAATATAATCACAATCACCTGTTATAAAACGTATAATCACTCGCGAAAGGTCTAAATCTAAAAAAAGGTGGTCTTTGAATCCCAGTGATTTAAAAGTAGAAGTAATTTCCATCCTAGTGATATGTTATGTTACACATCATATGCGACTACTGTAAAGCTCGTTCGTTTTTCCTCCGTAGAATAGTGTAGTTAGCTTAAACCTGTTAGGGTGTGTTGGAAAATCGGTATATACATAGAAATTATGTGGGCCAAGAATGTGAACAATATGGAACTTTATTTCTCAGTGTTAAAGTTTATAATGTCAAGCAGGTCTTGACAGATCTTAAGACCTTGTTTTACGTTTTAGTAAAAAGTAATTTTCGTGGTACTTGTCTTAATTTGTTTAATATTCCCTGAGAAATAATGTTCTAGAACTGCAGCTATGACTTTGCATGAATGAGTAAATTTGTTATTTCTTTCTGAGATATTTAAAGGAAGCGTGAGTAAAAGAGAGGCAACATTTGAAAACTTAAAAGGCTTGCCAAGTAGATGATAAAGGACACACGAAAAAAACATGTTAAAACATGATATAAACACCTGAAATATCGAGTTTCGTCCTGAGTATGTAATAAGTAACTAAATATTTACAAAATAAAAATATTTACATATATTGAAAGTGGATAATTTACTTATGTATGTATATAAAGAAAATGGGTTACTAACATGAAGTGACTTATAGAAAAGTGTTTCTCAAACTTTTTATATAGAGTGAATAGGGGTCACTTTTTGACTACTTGTCTCTTATCTTTATTTTATAATCTGGAACTTGAATGAACATCTCTCAAGGACACAGAATTTCAGTTTAAGAAACACTGCTCTATGAAAACTTTTGAAGGTAATTTTATTTATCTCTTACGGATGAGGTGAAAACTAGAAGAAATCTTTGATCAACATGATGGAAGCAGTATCTGGCAACTAACAACCATAGTTATACAAAATACAAAGTGTCAGAAGCACTTTTTGCATACCAACAAGCGTGATTCACACAAAGAAGGTTCCTATCTAAATTCATAATATACAACTTTTAAATGACACGATTTTAAATTTGGTATTTCTTTTCTGATGTATGAATAAAATGGGGTCCTAACTTCAGCAGGGTCGTCCATGACGACTTCAAACCAACTAAAACACGAGATATGTCAGAAGTGTCTCCATTGTCAGGGGCCTATAGGAAATACCTTTAAATAGAATCATGTTTATCATTTGTTGGTAAGTATAAACATCCAGAAATATATGCGACTAACTTATTACAATGTCATCATCATCAACAGCCTTTAATGGTCCACTGTTGGACACAGGCCTCTCCTTAGAAAGGAGGTTTTGGCCTACTATACCACGCTGACCAGACGGGTTGGTATAGGGTATGTGTCAAGTTTTCCTGCTTTCTGCAGTGCTGTTGTCCTGCGTACTTTGCTCCCTTAGTCGGCTCTTACGACACTCACGGGATGAATAGGGGTGGTGACACTCCGTATTCTTAATCCGTCACCACACGGAACAATCACGGAATCACGGAACACCACACATTACAATCTCTCTTGTAAGATAAATGAAATTTTAATACACTGGAGTTTGTTCAGCACCTGCTAGATGTTTCCATCATGTTGGGATATGAAATATATATTATATTCTTTGCTGGTGAAGATACGGACAAGGCTCGTAATATAATAAAATCTTTAAGATATTAAAAATTTCAACGGTTCAACCGATTCTAGTATCATTAGAAAAAATAGTATATCTAGAATAGATAGCTGAAAAGTAGATCCGCTTTTAGAAATAATGATGTCGATAGATATAACGTACTGAAGAGTTTTTAAAAAACAGTGACGTCACAAACCTATTAGTTTATAAAATTGAATACCTTTTCAACCAAATCATGTTTATGTATATAATGTTTACGGAAATTAACGCGCTTACGATAGTATGTACATACTTTTGAATTCCCTGACGTTTCGACCAGATTGCACTGGCGGTGGTAACAGTCAGTCCGAGACCAAGGTCAGTGCACTTCAAACAATAGCTGTTAGCTTTTTTGAATGAAGTTGGGGTCTAGAGACCAAGTCATTATTATATCTATCGACATCCAATCGAATATCATAATTTAATCACTACTCTATACGAACGTAATGTGTGCATTTTATTCGGCTTTTTTTTATTAGTTTGTAGTTTTGTATTGCGTATAGCAGGGGCTTAGGCTGTGTGACTATATTGTTAATTAGTTGTCAATATTATTGTGGCGTTTTAAATAGTCGTTAGATGTGTATATTTGATTGTTATAAAAATGTGATTTTTCAATGAATTGAACTGGAAGGGACTTAAGATATCTTTGTTGTGCATATTTTTATTAAGTATTTGGCAATAATTCGAGCAATTACACTGCTTGATCTCAAAATTCTGACTTGGTTCTAAGATTTAAAATGACCAAAGTACCAAATGTCAAGCAATAGTAATGTTAACTACTTTCGTCGTTTTTATGATAGTAAATTAGATCTCTGAAATGCCTAGATAGACTATAAAAGCGGTTAAAGTGCTGAAAATAATAGTGTCCAACAGTTAGCCACTAAGTGCTGTCGCTGTGTTATTGCTGTAACTATAAACGCTTGATTTGCGTGCACACTAGCTTAATAAATTTGGTCCGTTGGTTTTTGTTGTTTTGTATACTTTATTTAGACATTTAAAGGATCTATGATCTAAAAGATATGATCTAAATAGTTGTATACATGTACAGGAAATCACTTAAAATGTATTACATACTTTAGAAAACTTGTTTCGATCTGGTTGGTGTACCGGGGTCACAGTCTGACTGTACGGTTATAAACATAAATATATAAAAGTTGTTTTCAAAGATATTTAATTTGTATAATGCTGCGTCTGTTTTCAGCAGTCTCGTCTCAGTTCCCGACTTTCAGAGTCACAGTTTTATTATTTTGTAAGGTTCTGCACAAAAATGAAGTTGTAAAAATATGATAATCTTTAACTAATGAAAATTTGACAAATATATCGATATCTCTTCGAGTCTTTCTTGTTACTTATATTTAAAAGTTTCTAAATGTTGTTACATTGTATTGTTATTTCATTATTTATTTTTGAACTGTAAAACAGACTGTTCAGTTTAAAAATAAATATATGTCTAGGAACTAATAAATGACGTTTAGATTGTCTGACAATATAATTGTCAATTAATATCAATGTAATAACCAATTTGACGAAACGTAACTTGTATCTATGACCTACGGCGCGTGTTTGCCAGCTGCCGCCATTTTCTAAGGCACTTCACAAAATGGCTGACGTTTTGACAGTGCGTTTTGATTTTGTATCTTTTTTTTTACTTTTTATGCTAAACAGCTTGTTATTCTTGATTGCAAAAGAGGAATAGTTTAAATATATTTATTGTGTAAATAAAGGCAATAAATAAAATATCAAACATTGTTTTATTCCTTATAAGTATAATTTATAAACTTAAGTATAAAATAATTATGTGGTAAATTTGAGTATTTATTGTACTTTGTTTATGTATTTGGTTCATTTCTAGATTTCTTAACCATTAATCCGTTCAGTAATTACTAACTTTTAAAACTTATACTAAGTGTTTTTTTTTGTGTCAAGAAAATTATAAAAGTTAAAAATTACTCAGCTTAATAATAATATTTTCAATGTTCATAAGGAAACGATCTCCTTTTTTTTATAATATAGTGGCTAAACGAGCAGGCGGGACTTGATGGTTGAAATTAGACATGAGACAAAAACACGGTAAACTGTGATTTTCTTTCGATTTTGTACGTAGGTTAGGGTTGCTAGGTAGTAGGTACGTTAGACGCTATTTAACAGTAAATCTACTTTTTTTTATTAATTTGTAGGGAATGGTAGCTATATATAAATATATATATTTAAAAACTCCCGCACTAGGAATAAATCTTGTGTCGCGGGGACTTTACAAACATACATAAAACGGACACAAAGAACACCCAGACTCAGAACAACAAAGTGTCTCCCATGTGGGCATCGGACCCACAGCACTCAGCGTAGTAGTGAGCGGCGTGGCCACCGCTTAAACCACTACGCCATCCGTGCAGTCAGCGCAGTATAATACAATAATTACTAGATTTGTTGTTGAATAGGCGAAATAGGACCTTTATGCATCTCCTGAAAACAGCTTATTGGCAACAACGCGTGAGTAAGTAGTAACCCTTTTTTTTTTCCGTGCGGAAATCCCCTCGGATACCGCCTGTCGGTGGCATGTCGGACACGAACCGACTAAAACCGCACGCCGTCTCGGGTACTAATAGCCGGGGAACCAGGTATACCCTAGAAAGGAAGTCCCTGGTACCCAGTAAGTAGTAACCCTAACCTACGTATGAAAAAATCGAATGATAAATTACCGATCTTTCACAGTTCACTGTGATTTTGTCCCATGCCTAGTTTATTTTATTTATTTATTTATTTTATTTAAGTAACATTACAAGCTCACAGTCTCACAACCAAAACGCTTATATGCTATACTACATTGGATCAGATATACAGACCACAGATCATTATACAAAACAATACATTAAATTATTTATATAAATTACAAATAATTAATAACTCATACAATCACACAGAAATAATAAAATGTTATGAAATAAAGAATTAAAGCAATAAGATGTCATAAAAATTTACAAGATGTCAATAAATATTAATAGCTATACAGAGTACATTATAGGTAACAGTTATTTATGAGTATTTAAAAAGATCATTACATTTTGCATTAATTTGGGTAAGCTGTCAAAAAATATGTCTGCATCTACATTATCTTGCAAAAAAACATTAATTAGTTGGATAGCTTTTCCCGTGGGGCTACTAACAGCTTGTGGGAGACGCCACGTTGTAGGATCAGGAGTCGGTGATGGCGACGACAACCGCGCAAGTAATTATTTGGTACATACAAATTAATGCATTCACGCACCGATGGATTGTCTACCCTATCGTGAATTAGCAACAAATAGTGCACAATATGGTTAAAGTTTCGCCTAAGCTCAAGTGTATCAAGGCCCACCATGCCTGATACAAACATAGATGGAAACAAGAAAGGGTAATAACCATACTCCCGCTTGTACAGGTATCGGGCAAATTTACGCTGTATTCTTTCAATGGAAAGGGTATATATTTTTTCTTGCGGGCTCCACACTATTGAATTATATTCCAGTCTACTACGTACGTAGGCATTATAGAGCAATTTAATAGGCTGTGTGTTGCTAAATTGAGAACAAGTCCTAATAATGAACCCCAGAGCTTTATTAGCGTCTTTCCATATTTGCCTTATATGGTCGCGGTTATATATTAATAGTTGAAATATTTATAAATAATTCTTATGTATTATTTAAACGTACTTAATTTAAATAGAATTATATTATCTCTAGTATATTCTATGTTACAAAACATGAGCGTATTTGGTATCACAGTTTCTCGTTTTAATCACCGCCAGTGGGATATCTGTAAAGAAAATATCATTAATTATTTAGGTATATCTTTTTTTTGAAAATTATCAATATTTAGTAGAAGATTAATTGAAAACAGTCAACGATCGTATAGCTATATATTTGTTCTTGCTGTGAGCCAGATTCAAACAAAAAAGTATAATGGTTTGAAAAAATACCAATGTAACAATATGCATACATGCTTATAATCCAGAGTTAAGCTGTAAAAAGGTCAATTTGTGTGTATAAACATATGTTTGTGTGTGTGCATAGGAAAGATGGATTGACCCGTACAATTTACAATACATTCATCCACACTTACCTGTCTTATAAATGTAAAAGTTAGTTTGTTTTTATTGTTTGTTTGTTACGTTTTCACGCCTAAACCACTTTACCGATTGTAAACAGTTTTGCCAGAATCCAAAGTAACGATAACCGATATACACGCGGTCGAAGCCGCTAGTAAAAGCTAGTAAATTATAAATACTAGGCTAGATAGGTAACCTAGTAGGTTAGCACATTGCAAAGTTAAACGATCATAGCCGGGTTAGTCCATGGATGGGCGACCATTCTTAACTCATTGAGACCCCTCCGAGCCTCGGAGCACTTTAAACCGTCGTCGGTCTTGGTTACAATACGAACAACTGTGGCAATCGTTACGGGTAGTGGGAGCCCTAAAAAAGTCAGACAAGTCTATCTACAGAACTTCCATATCGCCTAGTACTTGGGTTGTGGAGGTCTGATTGCAGTTGCGCCATGTAAAAAATCGAAGTTCAGTTGTGTTCAGAGGATGAGGATAACATGAATTACAAGTACGTTAGTACTTATTTTTGCCCGTGGCTTTACTCAAGTTAATAGCGATTTTATCAATAATTTTTTCCGACTTAAAAATAGCCTACATGCTATTTCTGACTATAATTAATCTCCAGTCCAAATTTTATTCAGATCCGTTCAGTTGTTTTGGCGTGATTGAATTACGGCAGATTATAGAGAAGATCGAGCAGTATAATCAGCCCCTTTGTCTAGCATTCGGGGACAATGAAAAGGCCTTTAACTCGATCGAAATCTAGTCAGTTCAAGTAGATTGGCGAAACATCCAAGTGATGAAATACGAAGCCGCCACCATGTCCGTCAAAGTACAGAATCAGCAAACAAGGCCCATACCGTTGCATCGAGGAGTGAGACAAGGGGACGTTATTTCCCCGAAATTGTTCACAAATGCAATGGAGGACATGTTCAAGACGCTGCACTGGAAAGTGCGTTGCATCAATATCAATGGCGAATACATCTCTCACTTGAGATTTGCAGACGACATCGTAATCATAGCAGAGACGCTGCAGGACCTACAACAGATGCTGAATGACCTAGCTGACTCCTCTACGAGTATATGTATGTATCGGCCTACGGATGAACTTTGATAAAACCAAGGTCATGTTCAATGAACGTGTACCTACTACCGGAACTAATTGCGGTACACGGTGCCGTTCTCGAAGTTGTTCAAAATTACGTTACCTCGGGCAGACATTGCAGTTAGGTAGAAACAACTTCGAGGACGAGTTGAATAGAAGAATTCAGTTGGGTTGCGCAGCGATTGAGAAGCTACGTCGAGTCTTCTCATCGACCATCCCACAGTGCTTTAAGACGAAAGTCACCAATGAGTGCTTCCTACCCGTCATGACATACGGAGCCAAAACGTGGACACTTACGTTACGGCTGGTCCACAAGTCGCTCAACGTGCTATGGAAAGAGCTATGCTCGGTGCAGGGCGTTTGTCTAAGGGATCGCATCAGGAATGAGGTGATCCGGCAGAGAAACGAGGTTACCGATATAGCCTACCGGATTACCCAGCTGAAGTGGCAGTGGGCTGGCCATATTAGCCGCAGAACCGACAACCGTTGGGTGAAAACGAGTTCTCAGTGGAGATCGCGTCTCGGCAAACTTAGTGGACGCCCACAGGCCAGGTGGAGTGACGATTTGATTGATTGATGCGAGAAGCCCAAAATCGATCGAGGTGGCGTGCAATGAACCGCATATTAATGATTATATATTTCTTTCTTCATAAAATTTACTATAAAATTGATAGGACACAAATTTACTCGTATATTAAGGATGTTTATAATTACCTTTTTGTGTGTTTGTAACTTCTTCTTACCGCTTTTCTTTCGTCTGTGATTCTTTTTTCGTTTCTTTCCCGAATTGGGACTGGTTACTGGTTCATTGCCGGTGAAGACTCGGTATCCTGCCAGCTGCATTTTTCGAATTAGCAGTTCGACTTCTAGAAAAATTATTCAGAACGTTATCTGTCTTATCAAAGATATTAAAATAATAATATTAAAAAAAAAGACGTGTGACACTCGGGGACTGCCGCGGTAAAGCTATTGCATAGCATTTTTTATCAACTTATGCAATTATAATTATTTATTTATTTTATTTATGCAGTATTTTTTTCCTTTTTTTTTTGATATTAATTCAAGTTACACTTTTTGAGCGTGGTGACCGATAAGAAAACAATTATTTTCTTTTATTAAATAAATGAGAAGTTAATATTGTTCAAAATATTTTTATTATCTTACAATACATGTAGGTTATTCAGGCATATTTATCATTGAAACTATAGGTTTATGGTAACTGATATAAGAAACATAAGTTTGAGACTTATATCTTCTAAATATCTGGAAAATACCGCGTCACACCTAGAGTCGAGTTGCTGAACTAAAGAGACAAGCGTGAAATTTCAAAAAAGTCATTAAAAGTTGTGCTATTCATCGATAGATGGCAAAACTAAAAAGTATCACCGCTATGCCGGTCGGAGTGGCGGGTGTTAGGTTATTTTCGTTACGGAATTTCTGGATTCGGTCTCCACGCTCAAGGCCCGCGATAGAAGCTATGCAATAGCTTAAAAGAAACCCTTTTCTCAAAAAAATGTGTTCAGAATTTGATTTTTGTGTGTCTGCTTAAAGTGCCGTATAATCTTTATTGAATGGGTGAGTGACTCAGTGACAAAATAAAGTTTAATGGATGTACGTTGGGAATATACCTAATTACAATGTGTGGTCTGAAAATTAAGGCTTTTAACATTATGTTCAATTAAAGTTTCAAATGAGGATAGTACGGTAAATATAAAATTATAGTCTATTCGTGTTAAAAAAATACTGACGCATCGATCTAGCCCGCCCCCTGACCCATCAGATTTCAAGGAGTTATCGTTTCGTACGAAAGCTTGTAACCAGATGGATTTTACATGACTTTTTTTAAAGCGAATGGATTATAGTTTTTTTTGCTTGACTTGGCCGTGTCACTGCTGTGCCCCTAGATATATGTTAACTTGAAGAATTCCGTGTTTAGGGATATACAGTTATAAATATGAATGAATGTCTGGGAATTAATAAAGTTCTGGGTACTAATATATTTGAACGTCTAAAACACAATCGCCCACGTAAATAAAGTAATTCTACAGCTGCTGACTTTTGTTGATTTGGTTCATTTTAGTTGACGATGCATTTTTTATCTCGGTCACATTTTCCAACGGTTTACAAAGAATAATTTTATCATAAAAGGTCTGGGAATTTTTATTATAAAAGTTCTCGTTTCACAAGAGAACGTGTTTTCATGCAATTATCTTATCATCATCAGCACGATTAAAATTGGGAGCTCTTTCCTACCAAATTTTGTTTTTGTTTGATTCCTTGTTTCTAAGATAGATAACTGAAAAGCTTTTCTCGTAATAATATGGGCCTACCACCCAGTGGTGGATTTGCAGACTTGGACCCATGCTCGGGGCTACTGTGCCTTAGGGGAAATCCACCACCACATGTTACTTTATTTTTCTTTAAGGTGAATGCATTCTTTGCATGTGATTGCGCTCATTATTATAAGTATTATTTATTACTAGCCGTATAAAATGTTCATATAAAACTACTAAAACCGCTAATAAAAAAGAGGGAAGGGGAAGGAGGGTGAAGGATACTTTACGACCTACAAAAAATGTTTATTAACATTGGTGGAGCCGTTTCGAAAGATTGCGACCACAAACACGATAACACGAAATATTAATTTATTAGATAAAAAGGTATTCAGAAAGGCTGATATATAATACGTAATATACAAAGACAGGACTAGATGAAATAGGTTCATCATAGGTTAATTAAATATTATTTATTTCAAATTATTCATAGGTTTGGTTCGGCAACGTAATCATTACTAATAATTTTGGTCACACATTCACAATATATTCAGTCATACCTAAATTAGAAACTAGATGAAAATACAATTATATTAAATATTATCATTGTAATTTTTTACAACTTTAGTGGCAAACAGGCGTATTGTTCTACAACTATTTAAATCACTTAAGAGCGTCATATACTCGTAAATAGGGATCATATTATAGGTCTTCTCATCAAGCATCTCTGAAAATACTGCTGGTATACAATACCTTATTCTTTGGCTATAATTTCTACTATTTAGAGATACGTTTAAAGTCAAGCGGTTTCTACTTGAAGAACGAGATAGTCGTGGCAATAAAACAGTTCATTTCTTTCTTTAAGTCTCAAGCATAATGATGACCAGCATATACCTACGATACTTCTAAGGTAAGTGACGGGCGTTTAATCTGAAGCTTAATGCAGGATAAATCTTTAAAGCCTACTTAGAACTAAGTAAAAACAATTTAAGGTTGGATTTCAATGCAGTCGCCTAACACACTGTTTCTGTAGAGAAGTTAAAGTCACTGGGTACCGAGAAATCACATGCGGTGTCTGTATATGTGTTGATTGTTTATCTTATTCTAATATTTAAATATTTTTAAAAGAAATCCTCACCGATAGGACTTAGCGCCGAAAACTTAGAAGGAACTGTGTCCACGTCTTTATCTTGGCCGACATCGTCATTGTTGTCTATATCATTAGAGCTCAAGCTATTCGCAATAGATATGTCTGCACATGAGTAGAATTGTTCCTGGTTTCCGCACCCAAGACCCTGGGTTCCGTTAGCACAGAATCCCCAATTGTTCCCGGCTGTATACTGCCATTGAAGAACACAATGCTCACAAGTCAGTCTTTCAGGAAGGCGAAAAGTGACCTCATAAGACCCGTCACCTTTTCTTGGATAATACTTAGTACCACCATCTTCGAGTTCCAGAAGATAGCCGTTGTCGAAACAGTCTTGTGATTGGTGGTAAGGATCGGGGCAGATTCGGAGCTCCCAAAAGCCTAAGTGCGAAGTGCTTAAGTGGACCTTTGTATTTATGGTTTCGCCAGCTTCGTAGTGAGCGACGATGTAGCCAATGCCGTAGGTACCGCCAAGTTCATGCGGACGTGGTTGTTTCTGGTCATACGCGTCACCGCAGATGCCGCATCTAAGAATCGTTGTAATAAAATATATGTGAATACATCCAAAGAAAATATTAATTAAGGCTTTCATAAATAGAATTCATTTTTTTTCTGCCAACACTACCTACTATCTTTTTTCATAGACGCTCTTGTCCAAAAACTTTAAGTTAAAAAGAAATTAATTGTATCATAGATTCCTACCACCTACATTCTTCTAAGTTATTTGAAGAGGTGCTGGCATATAAGAAAGAAATATCAAAAAAAATGGTTTATTCCCATCTGCCCCGACCTTATAATCGGACGAAGTTGCAACATAAATTCGATTTTCTGCCATTTGTGGCATAGCCGAATACACCCAAAAAAATCTTTAGTTTGAAGCCAAACTTATTGAGAATTTAATCCCCCGCTCGCTTTAGCATGCAGGTTTTTAAATAATATAGTATATGTTGTCTAATTACCGAAGGCTGAAGTTAGATGAATAAGACAAAAATTGGTACAGACTTGTAATAGTTTCGTCAGATTTCTTTTTGGTGAATTTCTAAAAGAATGAGAAAAAACCGCCTTTCCTCTCTGAATCCCAGAATACTCTCGGACTCTACTTACTTGCCACGATTGACCGAATACTGCCGATAGAATCCTCCACAGTTCATTCCATCATCGTCATAGTTAGGGGGTGAATTGTACCCGAGGCGCCATAAGGAAGCTCTGTTAGGGGGATGCACTAAGCGCCCATGAGCATGTACATGTACTAATATGCTGGTGAATATTAATAGCCTGCTCCAAGCCATCTGCGGAAGAAATACAGAGTTATTAGCCATCTCTTACTATATCCTACATATTTTTTAATACAATTCGCGTAAGTTTTTTTCTCGGGTCGCAAGGAAGTTTACGACACACTCGGCCAAAGACGTCACCGCGCCGTGGAGTCTCATCTGTTAATTTTTAAACTTAGTTCTTTTTGTGCCCATCTTTTTCGAGTTAGAACTATTTATCCTGACTGCTGTTCTGAGCTCTGACGACTCTTAGTCAGCAGCAGAGATATACAACGTCAGAAGTTTTGGTCAGCAGTGCCCTTTTACATGCATGCGTGCATACGGACAACGTAAACGTTTCTGGAAAAGAATTGAGTGGCAACATTTTGTATTTTATGTTTCTTATTTTCTAGAAAGTATTACATCTAATAATGTTAAAACGGATGGAAAGCATTTAAAGATTAGGTACCTATGAGATTTTCTTTATGGTTTTAACGATAAACGTCGTCTTATTGATTATTACCTTATTTACCTAATATTATTAAGTAATCTGAAAGTTGTATTTTACGTAATGGTGAAATTTGTGGAATACATTAACTTTTATTGCCTTTTAAATTTATCTAGGCTCGTGATACTTCGTTACCATATATTCAATTTTTTCTATTTTTTGCAGGTATATTATTCCACTAACTTTTATTTTATAAATTGACTACTTATACATTAATAATAAATGAAACGTAAAGATCGAAAATTAAAAAAAGGAATCGCAAAAAATGTGGGTATATAAAATAAAACTAAACTAAATAGATATATGCGAGTATAAAAGCACTACTGCTATTGTTACCTTGAAATTTTTAACTGGAATATATTTAACTAAATTGCAGCAATTGATGTATCTTCTAGAGAACTGTGCTATTATGTACTGCGGGCTCGGTCATTCCTTATCAGATCACTTATCAAACACAGATACAGAATTTCAACATATTATATATGAAATAAATATAAAACCTTATTTACACTGTAATTTATGCAATTAGATTTATACGATGTTTATTTCTTTTATATTTTGATTGTGTGGCGCGGCGGTACAGAAGTCTACTGCATCGTCAGGGGCCGCGGGTTCGATATATGCATGCATATATCAATTTCCATCCGTGTGGTGGCGGATTAAGAATTAGGAGTGTCACCACCCCTATTCATCCCGTTTGTGTCGTAAGAGCCGACTAAAAGAGTAAACTACGCAGGACAACAGCGCTACAAAGAGAAAGAAAAAAACCCTTCTTTTTTTTTACGTGTGGAAATCCCCTCGGACCGTCACCCCACCGGGGTTTGCGGCGGGGTGGTGTGTCGGACTCGGACCGACTAAAACCACACGGTGTGCCACTCTGCGCCTGTAATAGGAGGGATCCGGGAACAGCTGTTATTAAGACATCCGGACTCCTCCTAGCGCCGGCCCGCTTATGTTGCGGGCTCCATCTCAAAATTTTTTCCTCTCTTTAGGCGACGTCCGGCACACGCGGACGCCGCCCCCTCGCGGCTGGCCAAACTAATGCGGGTGGAGGGGAAACCCACCCCGTCCACCCGCGGCCACACTCAGGGCGGCATGAGGCGCAGGTGAGCACGCCTCCTCCGCCCGGTTCGCCGGCGGCGGATCGGGTCCGAGTGGAGGTCGTCCTCCCGGGCCGGAGATTACTTCCTCGCAGAAGGTTGCGACCGCGGTAAAACAACTGTCGCTACCGGCCATGGAGCGTACTACGGCTGGTAGCGAGAGATCCACTCCGATGACTGCAGTGAGGGCCCGGCGCTGCGTCGCCCATGCGGGGCAGACCGCCAGCGTGTGCTGGGCCGAGTCCTCACTGCAGTCGCAGTGGTGGCAGGCGGGACTCAGTTCCCTCCTAGCGACCGAATGCAGGTACTTTTTGAAGCAAAAGTGCCCGGAAAGCACCTGCGTCAGCCGGAAGGTAAGGGTCCCGTGCTGCCGCCCTGCCCACTCGGCGATGACCGGCTGGAGAGCCTCCACGGCGGCGAAGCCAGCGCGTGGAGTCTCCAGCCGGAACGACCAACGAGCCATCGTGGCTCGGCGAGCGGCTTCGCGCCACTCGCGCACGTCTTCGGGCGGAGGGCGAAATCCGTTCTCCGCCCGGGAGTCAGCCACTCGCCGATAAACTTCGGCGAGCACTTCCGCCTCCAAATTCCACGGGGGAGTTCCGGCCAACGCGCAAGCCATCTCCGTCGAAACGGTGCGGTAACCGTGTATGGCTCTGACCGCCATTACCCTCTGAGGGCGCCAGAGGCGTGCCCTATTCTGGGCGGTCAGAGCCGCCACCCACACCGGTGCACCGTATAGAGCCATTGACCGGACAACCCCCGTGTACAGCCGTCTTGTCGCGACGCTGGGTCCACCCAAATTGGACAAAAGTCGCCCTAGGGCAGACGCAGCGCCGACCAGCTTTGGAGCAAGCTGTCGGAAGTGCTCGTCGAAGAGCTACCTCCCGTCGAGGATCAGGCCCAGATATTTCATCTGGGCCCGAACCGGTACGAGGACCGAGTTGACCACGATTGAGGAGCCAGGGGGTGGACCACGACGGGGCCCATGAAATAAGAGAGATAATTATACTACCAATAGCATTTTCCACTTAGTACTATACACACTGTTATAGTAAAATGGTGCATGCTACGTAATTAAATAATAATATAATCAAATAATTCGATAATTGATAATATCAATTTCAATCAATTTAGTTTCTATATAAATACTAATTTTATTTTTATAAAATATTGGTCAGCTGATGTCCCTGTTTCCTGTGTCTGGAGGTTACTGTCAGCCAATCACAGGACGTACCTAGGAGTACACACGCATAGTTGATCTTGAGTCTTTGCGAGCTACTATAGTGCAGTCCGAGATTTGCGTTAAGATATTAGAGTTGGTGTTACAGAAAAGGATATCTCTTACTCTAATTCCCTTGCTCTATCTGTTTCAATTCATCATCTGTCCACCCTTATCCCAATTTTATTTAAGGTCGCCGCAGTATGTATGATTCTTCCATTCTACTCTATCATGCGTCATCTCACTGTTTACTCCCTTCCTAGCCATGTCCTCACTCACTCAGGCCATCCACCTCTTCTCTTGTACCCTTCAAATCCCATACCTAAATCTTCGCCACATTTTCCTCATGCCTTCGATGACATGTCCATATCAAGATAACCTATTACTTCTTAACTTTTCACCCAGTGGCGCTACTTTCAGACTCCCTCGTATATACTCATTCTTAACCTTGTCCATCCGAGTCACACCACACATCCATCTCAGCATTCGCATTACAGGCATCTCTCATCCGTTCTCTTAACGGGGTTAATGACCCTCTAAAAGGGAGCCGAGGTGCTTGAAATTGCAGCAAACTGTTATCGCTATCCATTCCAGCGAAATGGTTTCAGAACTGGAGAGACCGACAAAATCGCAGAACATGGACTCAGTTTTGGTTCTGCTGATTTCCAAGCCAACATTCTCCAGCCTTTGTTGCCATTTTTCCAGTCTGCTCTGGACTTCTTTCAAAGCCCACCACAAAACTTCTCGGATACCCAAGGTCCACAAACACCATATGCAAGTTTTTTCAACTCCTGTTATTCTCACATAGTTGACGCATTGCAAATATAGCATCTGTTGTCCCGCGTCCTGGCATAAACCCAAATTGATTTCTGGTTATCTCACTCTCATCTCTTATTCTTCTTTTAATCACTTTCTCTCAGACTTTCATAGTATGTGACATGAGCTTTATTCCTCGATAGTTGTTGCATTCCTGAACATCCCCTTTATTTTTGAAAATAGGTACGAGTTGGGTTTGACATCATTCCTTTGGGAGTACCTCTTCATGCAATAACATATTATTGAAGAATAGAATCAGAAACTCATATCCGTCTTCTTTCAGTAACCCAAACTTCCACTGGTATTCCGTCGGGGCCAACTGCTTTTCCATTTTTCGTACTTCGTACTTCCAATCTGACTTCATCTATAATAATTTAGTTCACCAGTCCGACATCCACATTCAGCACTCTGCTCCATTCATTCTCTTCATTCATAAGTTTTTCAAAGTAAGTTCTTCATCTCTTTTTTATATCTTCATCTTTAACCAACACTCTCCACTCTTCATCTTTTATACATCTCACATGCTTTAGTTCTTTACCCTAATTTATCTTCTTTCTTTGTTCTATTTGTAAAGGATTATATTTCAAAGGAGACTTGACGTCAGACGTCTGGCTGTGAACAAAATCATTGAAAATTCTTTACAATGTTACGCATTGTTTGGACGTCAACTAGAATTGGCAGAAAGGCGGAAAAATATTTTAAATGCTTGTGCGTACTCTATAACTCATATTATAAGTTATTCTTAGTTTTAGCCTAGATAGCAAAACTTAAATAGACTAGAAAACGGCACCTCAAGCTTTTTAGTTCAATTCCATTATGTCTCATTTACAATAGTATATAAAATTTATCGTATTTATATACACAAATCAACAAACAATATTATCATATTAACAAATTAAAATGAGATGTTAAATTATTGATGTAAAAATCTGAGATGTGTTTTTAAGTTTTTTATGACAAGTATAATAAAATTCATTTTATCAGAACTATAATTTACACTGTAAATAAACAATTTGGTTGTTGAATCATTGCCTAATAGTAATAAATATCGTACTTCTTTATTTATTTATGTATTTTAGGTAATTGTATTGTGTATACACGTAAAAACGTTTACGAAACTCTTCCACCATAGTAAACCCAATTATTTTATTGTATTTATTTTGTTCTAAATTTGTATTTCTGTATTTTCGTAGTAATTTTTTTATTTTTTATTATAACCGACGTACATTGAACCATGTTATCTAGTTTTCCAGTTTCTGTGATAACCTTCATCACATACTGTATGTATAGGCAACTATGTATTTTAGGTAGATATACAGGCTGTTACAGAAAGGTGGTAGTGTTTTAAATGCTTGTAGTACTCCTTTTAAATAGTGTAAAATGCTAATAATTT